TAAGTTGGGTAAAATGTGTGTTCAGGCTGTGATACTTTCGCTTCCACAGAAACCCTCTGAGACCTACAGTCCTGCTGTAACTTACCAGAAATTCAAGGGTCGTGATCTATACAGTCATATCCTTGGGTTGCTCATGGATAAAATAATATTAATGAGTCCACCTGACTGCATTATGGGGACTAAATGAGACAATGAACAAAAAAATCCCATAGCAGAATACGTGGCAAGTAGTCAATAAATACTAGCTACCCAATATTGTATTACATCACATTATACCATATTATGTTATTAACAATGTAATATCATTATATTATTACTACTCATGAGGAGTTTGAGTATATTGAATTTAATTAAGGAGAGTATGACTAATCAGTATAGGCAATTGGATTTTTTCTTTAAAAAACTCTGAGTAGGATCCTTTCTCAGCCAAACAATGGTTTAAGAAAGGAAAAGACAAGAGGTAGAATTATTTGTATAGTCAATTTGGATCACGTTGTGCCTGTGATGTCTGAATGGATCAGGGGAAGAAGGCAAGGTTGAGAACCACCTACCTTTCATATATGGGAGGGAGAAGAGGCTTACATGAAGAGCTTGTATTTTGGGGACCTTTGCTCCTTTACTCACAGAATCCCTACATATTCCATTTTTCTGTTATAAATTAAAAGCAGTAAGGCACAGAGAAGACATGCCTTCCTGCAAGTCTGTGTATGAGCTGGGAGTGAGGATGGAGACTGAATTACCGCAAACTTGATGGCTTAAAACACCAGAAATGTACTGTCGCCGACTCCTAGAGGCCAAAAGTCTGAAAGTTATTCCACTAAGCCAAAAGCAAGGTGTCGGTAGGGTTGCACTCCCTCTGGGGGCTCAGGAGCGCATCCTTCTTTGCCTCTTCCAATTCCTGGCCGCCGCCATATTCCTTGGCTTGTGGCCACATCACTCTGGCCTCTGCCTCCACAGCCATGTTGCCTTGTCCTCTTCTGTGTGTGCCCAGTCTCCCTCGGCCTCCCTCCCACATAATGTTCAAAGTTCATCTAGTAACAATTTTGTCCCATCTCTGGCATTGGCCATTTCTTTGGGGAACTCTTGGTTTTACAGGCCAAGATTTGAATGCTAGGTGCTCACTGCTACTGGGGAGCCTTTACTTCTAGGCCCTTTCAGTAGACAAAGCTAGAAAAAATATACATATATTTATGCATATACATACAAACATAATACATAGGTGCATATTATACATATACACACATACACACACATATGTACAGGTATACATATTTAGATGTCCATATATATTTATATGCATACATATGTATATATGTATACATATAATATATATGTATATATATAAATAATACATATGTGTATATATAATACATATGTATATATGTATATATATAATATATATACAAATATAAAAATATATATATATATATTTTTTTTTCACACTGATGCCTCTAATTCCAGTCCACCCAATAAGGTTCCTTCTTGCCTTCCCCCATTCCATAGTTTGATGTCACTTTCCCATATGGAAATTCTAGCTCCCAACTGCATTAACCATGTTTCCATTTGCCCAGTGCCACAATACCTCTGAAATGTTTCCAAATTGCTTGACACATCTACCACAAGATGCATTAAGGATATTTACTAAAAGGAGTTCAAGAGGTGGCTGTCATTCTCCTCAACTGAACTTCACCCAAGACAGAAAGTAAGTAGTCACGAGTTACTTGGATTTGCTCTATTCCTTTTTCCCCTTCAGGGTGGTTGTAGTGTTTATATGAAATACAATTGCCTTCGTTTGTTTCCCGTTTGTTTTCAGTTGTAGGTTTTTCTTTCCCTTCCCATCTTGTTTTAATTTTATTTTTGAATACGTAGAACATTAACATGCTTCCAAAAGTCAAAACGACACAAAAAACATTGTTCTCCTGCGAAGTGTCACTCCCTCCTGAATCACTTCCATCCCTGCCCCCCACCAAGTAATCAACTTCATTGTTTTTTGGTTTATCTTCCTGTTTCTTTGGTAACGATAAGCAAATATTTATGTTTTATTTGCCCTTCTTTCTCACACAAAAGACAGCATGTTCTATATCCTCTTTTGCACTTTCTAGTTTTTCAGTTAATATTTCCTAGAAATCATACTATATCAGTTCATGCAAATCTCCCTCATTTTGGTGTTTTTTAATTTTTATATAGCTGCACAGTACTCTATTGTTTGTATGTATCCATAGTTAATTCAACTAATCTATTTTGGGAGATTCAGGTAGTTTCCAGTATTTCATGACTGCAAAGAGCACTGCAATGAATAACTTTGTGCATATATATTTCCATATTGTTGGAGGTGCGTCTTCAGGGTAAATTCCTAGAAGTGGGATTTCTGTGGTTAAGGGATAAACACACGTGTAGTTTTGCTCAATGTTGCCAGTTCTCCTCCAAGGGGCTGTTACCATTTTGGATTTCTACTAGCAATGAATGAAAGTGCCTGTTTCCCCCACAGCCTTATCAATAGAGTTATATTGTCAACGTTTTTAATTTTGCCAGTCTGCCAGATGAGAAATGAGATTCCATTGTTTTTTTTTCCAATATGCACTACTCTGACTATAAATGAAGGTGAACATCTTTTCATATATTTAGGGCCATTTATATGTCTCTTTTCTTGAATTGCCTGTTTCTTAATTTTGCCTGTTTTTTCTAAGGGAATTTTCATCTCTTTTCTCCCTTAATGTCTGAAAAATCTTTATATGTTAGGGAAAGTAGCCTTTTATCTGTCATATGTATTACTCATATTTTCTCCCAGTTTATGATCTGTTTTTTACTTTGTTTATGGTGATTTTTGCCATGGAGAAGGCTTTTGTTGTTTATTTGTTTTTTAATGTAGTCAAATTTATCAATCTTTTCTTATCTAGTATCTGGATTTTGAGCCATAGTCTGAAAGCCTCTTTTTCACCCAGATTATGAAGTAATTTGCCCACACGTTCTTCTGGTACTTGTATAATTTCATTTTTTTTACATTCAGATCTCTTGTCCGTTTAGAGTTTATCCTTGTATATGGCATAAAAATGGATACAATTTACATTTTTCAAAATAGCTATCCAAGTGTGTCCCAATGTCATTTGTTAAAAAGATCATCTTTGCCCCAGTAATTATGGATATCACCTTTATCATATACTGGGTGTCTATATGGAGCTGTGTGTATTTCTGGACTTCCTCTTCTATTCCATTGATCTGTTTGCTAGTTGTGTACCAGCACCACATTGTTTCATTTCATTGCAGCCTGCTTTAGTATCTGTTAGGGTTGGTCTCCCTCAGAGCTCTTTCCTTCCAGTATTTCCTAGCTAGTGTTGTGCGTCTGTTTTCCTAAATGAACTTTAACATCAACTTGTCTTGCTCTTTAGAAATGCTCACCGGTATTTGTATTAGGGTTACATTAAATTTGTAAATTAACTTAGAGAGAACCGACATCTTGATCAAGTTGAAACATGCCAAGAACGAGGCATGTGAATTCCTTTTGTTCAAGTTATCAATAGATAATTTCAATCTGGTGTCCTCCCTTAGGCATTTACTTAGGCACCTTAGTGAATACGAAGCTCCCCATTGTACAATCGGATCATACATGCTATACAAGTTCAGAGGAAAGGGAGAGAGGAGACAACTAGAATCACAAGAGAAGGCTCTGGGCTGAATAGAGACTGGAATCACGCGTCCTGAAGGTTGTGTAGGATTTAGGTGGGGTAGCAAAGAAGAGGAGGGAATCCCAGTGAGGGGCATGCAGGCAAAGCTCAGGGGTGGACTGAGGGTGACCTGTCTCACAGGACAGAAAGCCCCCATCCAGACTCTTAGCTGGAATAATGGGAAAGACACCACCTTGCTCTTTAAACCTCAGAGTTACGTCTCAGTGTCAATAGCTCCCAGATCCTCGTTATGTATTATTAAAATTGTATTAGTGAACATCCACTAGATTTCCAGATACTGGAATGATAATTTCTGCACATTCTTGCCTTTTCTGGGAATGGTCTAGAGCTGTGTTATCCAATACAGTAGCTACTGGTCACGTGGTTACCGAGCCCTTAGGTGACTAATGCAACCAAGGAATTGAAGCTCTCTTCTTTTAATAAGGTTTTTTTTTTAAGTTTATTTTTATTTATTTTGAGAGAGAGACAGAGAACAAGCAGGGGAGGGTCAGAGAGAGAGCCAGACAGAAAACCAAGCAGGTTCTGAACTGTCGGCACAGAGCTCGATGCTGGGCTCGAACCCACAAACCATGAGATCATGACCTGAGCCAAAATCAAGGGTCAGACGCTTAACTGACTGAGCCACCCAGGCACCGCTGGAGCTCGTTTCATTTTCATCAGTGTCAGCTATTTTTCCATTGAACCCAACTATATTGCTCTGAGGAGGACTACATTTTATTCTGATGATACCACCGCATAAGATACCATTGTCGCATCGCAACATGTGTGTCCATTTTACTTTTTTAAATGTGGCTCCTAGAAAATTGTAAATTACATGTATGGCTCATATTGTATTTCTCTTTGACGGCACTGGTCTAGAACCTCCCGCCTCAGTGTGGTCAGCAACGTGTGGGAACCATCCCAGGCCTTCAGAATCTGCTGGTTTACAAGGATCCCCGGCAGGGAGCGTGTTCTTCTGCCCAGGAACAGCAGCCCAGGTTTGGATGACTCAGAAGATAGCCAGGTCTCTGGCAGGTACCCCAGAGTGGCCCCCCCATCCTTCTGGGGGTGGTGAGAGGAGGCGGGGGGTGGGCAGCAGAGATATCCCTACCTCCCACTGTGATGTCACAGAGAAAACCTCTTGTGTCAGCCAGCCCCACCCGCCCTGGGCCGCAGGATATCCTTTCCATCTCCGGCAGCCCATCTCACACCACCTCACCCCTCTGCTGGCAAGAGGGGACCTGATTCGTCTTCACACCAGAAACTCATTCCGTGCAACCGATTAAGGCAGAGCCGAAAAGAAACAGAAACACCCTTGCCTCAGAGCTTCAAAAGTGAATGAGCAAACCCTCCCAACTGACTCAAAATGTTTGTCTCACCCAGAAGGTAGGTACCAAGACTTTTT